GAGTTTGAAGATGTTGTTTTCATTCGATAGAGGCCACAGCTACTCTTAGAATGCACCTCACTTAATACTCAAGTTGGATATAAATGATATGCAAAGAATAATCATATAATAGGGTCTTTGTTCCTCAACCTAAGTGATGACTCTTTTCACACACACGGGAGAGATGATGAAGTTACTGCTATTTGCTCATCCTCTTAATTAGCTGTATAGGAATTGGGTTTCCGGGTTGTAGCTCCTGAATAACCTTTAGCTCATGTCCTAGACAGGTGATAAATACAAAGCAATTGCAAGACCTCGAGTTGTATTCTTGGATTCTTCTAGAGTTGATAGCAGCTCGCCGCCCAGTCGAGACCTCACTTGATACTCACACCATTCTTGGACGAATGTCGAGAACCCTGAACAAATACCATCGGAGTGAGCATCTGGACTTTGAGATCTGCGGCTGTGGTCGCCTGGACTACTGCCTCTACTTATATTTGTCATCACAGTAGAGACAGTCGAGACCGGCCGGTTGATTTGGCGCTAAGAAAGTTGAGAATGGTGGCAAGACAGGAACAAGGGGGGAATATCAGATGGTACGAAAGCAAACTAGGCTTCTCTGCGCAACAGTTCTCGCGCACAGGTCAACCGAGGCCATTACTGCTTGGAGCTAAGGTCGAGATACTCTGTAGGCAGAGACTCAGGGGGAGAGTATCCGCAACTTTTACCGTCCCTGTCCCTGCCGACTGAAGCAAACTGGGTCGAGACACTGAACACTCCTCTCGACGGAACTATCCGCAAGGCCTCTAGGAACGGGTACAGTGTTCCGCGACCACTAATGTGATTATCGCGGACCGTTGTTATAGCTAGAGACAACCTTTGCCGCTCGCGGGATAGACTGGCGCTAAACGTCGCGAAGACTCTCAGCGATATTTCACGCGCCACCCTCAAAGCTGTCCCGATGGAAAGGGGCTAGCTGTGCTCCATAAATGCCTCGACTTCGCGGATGTAGCAGCGGGTTACAGTTGTTTGGTTGATTCATCAGAGCGCTACTGAGCCCTCAAATCTCGACCATCATTGACGGCGGCTTCACGGCCTCCGCTTTATACCTCCGGTCCAAAGAAGTTGCTTTAATCAAATGAAAGGCTTGGCAGAATGGAGTTTGCCGTTAGTTAACACACTCCCAACAGGATCTTGGGTCTTCAAAGGAGAACCAAGAAAACATGGGGGGATTGGCTCATGATCGATCGGAGATCCGGATATCCCAGCGATTTGGTTTTGGAGGCGCCCACTCACACAAAGGGTGGAGGATATCTTCAGCAGCTGCAGGGGTGATTCTTCTCCTAGCTTCAATCTAATGCAGGCCTTCATTGCATTAGTGGCTGGCCGGTGTTCGTTGCTTCTGCACACCATCACAGACTTCACTAAGAACTTCCTTTTTCCCAGTACGAGCCAATATTGGCCTCGAGGAAAATTGTAATACCCGGCAATATTACTGTTGAGCTTGGCACTTCGGATTGGATGTCCTGAGGCCTTAGGTGTGTCTTGGCCGTCCATCACCTGAACTGAACAAGGTTGTAAGCGAGAAGTAAATAAGTCAAATTTCGGCTCCCCAGAAAGATCATTCCCCAGGCGGCCGACCTTCGACCCCTGAATTATTGGAGCTCAATGGTCAACCAACCTAGCCCGATGATCGGGTCTGGTGGCTCCAAAGTATGTTGTTCCAGCCAGTGGCAGCTCCCTGTACGCTGAGCATTTGTGAAAGGCTTTTCGGCTCCTCAGCATCCAGCCTCAACCAAACAGCCGCTGCATGTTTCTCAAAGAACAGATTAAACGGCGGTCGGTAACAGCGTTGCAGATGAAACGCTTCGCTGGCGTCAGCTCCAAGATAAGTCGGCAAGACAGGGAAACTCGAGCCGATGGTTTCGACGCCAGTGGAAATGATTAAGTTCGTAAGTTTCTCAACGCCACCAGACTAGGCGATTTCTCATGTTTAAGCTGCGACTCCGCTCATGGAGAAGATCCACCATATCCTGGCGATCTGCCGCAGCCACCTCGGCCAACACGCCCACGCCTGAGTCACATAAGACTCCATCTCGAATCAGAGTTATGGCGAAGCGGTAATGAAGTAGATTATGCTCTAGCGAGGAAGAGACGTGGTTAAAAGGGCTGTGTGCATCGGCTATGAAATTCCGCCTGCGTGTGGGGGGCTCTACAGCCAGCACACATAGAATAGCCCCTACCAGGAACGAGAACGTCCGCTCTGTTAGCCAGTTGATAGCCAGTGAATGTTCCCATAACCGCGTCTAACTTTGATATGTAGTGGTCGTCCAAGATTGTATCGTCTAGTCACAAGCCTCGTTATGGCAGCTGATACACGTGGGCTGTACTTGAATCCCTGCAGGCATAGATGTCGGCTCCGTACTAGTTGGCAACGACCGAACAGAAACGCCCTTCTCGCCTAATAATGATTATCCAAAATGCACCTTGTGAATTTCCCCATTATACTGGTACACCTTTGGATATCGCGTTCATGCAACTCTTGTCAAGGTGGCAAAAGATATACCGGCTGGCGCGGCTGAACGCTGCAAGATCATAGGTGTATGATATGTAGATTATCCCATGTGCAGGTTTAAAGATGCAATGAATTGTTTCCAGTGCAAAGATTTACCAAAGACACCATTTGATTGATGCCGATGTGAGGTTGGAGTCACGTGTGAAGTGACGGTGATCGGGGTCCCAAAGGAGAACGTGGCTGTCACATATCAGTTCTGGGCTAAAGCACATCATGCATGTCCCAATATTTTAAAAGGACTTCCGACAAGCACATACATAGTCTGCGAGTCACGCGATCCCTAGCACATGCAGATAAACTACGACGACATCTACCCAACTCCATATCAAGTCATAGCTGTTTTGAATACGTTCTACAGTTATTGAATAGAGACAACTAGCGAGCTCTTGGTTCAGCCTTAACACTAAAATTACAGCAAGAAGGCAATCTTGATTAATTTCTCCGCATCGATCACTGAAGACACTTGTTTGTAAAGGACACTTGTTTGTAAAGTTTGAGATTTCTCTCAGCTGACGAAGAAGAGGCGAGGCTGAAGCTATGCCTGGGGTGGGCGATATGGACGGAGCGCGGCCTCTTCCGATCCAGTTTCAATTAAACGTCACAAGTTATCGATTGGGGAGTTTTCTAGCTGCGAGAACAGAGTATGACAGGGTGGATGATCTTTCAAGAAAGCAGCCCGAGGGCTACGTATATAGCCCCGATACTTTTAGGCTGCTTATGTCAAATATTTCGTTGAAATACTGTGTGAAGTGGCACAGGTCGCTTTTCGACATTGCAATTAATCTCTTGATCAATTGGCTCGCCCGTATGAACCACAGCGTGCACAAAATAACTGTGCATAACGAACGCCCTTGTCTGAAATAGCGGCACCCATGACACCGCGCTTGCTGGCGTCAACTGCCTTGTCAAAGTGTTCCACGTTGTGATCACTGATGGTATCGAGATTGTGCGGCCCCGTCATGTTGACACTTACCGATCTGGGCCTTGCTGTTGAAGATCTGTTTGTAACCGCTTGGGGTACTGATCGTCAACTTGTTTGGACTTGAAAAACAAAGCTGGCATGATTCCATCTCTTATTTCGGTCAATCCTGTCTGCCAAGGGTTTGACAGACGAAAAAAGAAAACGAAGCAGCTCGATTAGGCAAAGATAGGAGTTCCCTTGCCTATAATTGACAGCATATTCTTCCTTCGACTGCCAATTCCAGATACGTCGGTCCTTTTTGAGCAATCAACAGAATTTGGCCTAGAAAGGACCAGAACCCAGCTAGCGAGTGGGAACATGAACACATTCTCTGTGCAGATCACACTAATGACCATGGAACTGACTAAGAGCGTGGCTAAAAGACGTGCGACAACTGGGCCTCGCAACTCCACCATTAAGGTTTCGAGGAAGCTGAGGCCTGAAGAGCGATTACCGGCTAGGGGAAAGGGAGTGACATTCCCTCCGACGACGTGCGGTTCTTGATTATAGGGGCTCGTATAGGTTATATAAACGGAGACTATTATGCATACTTCGAGACAGTCAGGGGCTGTGGCAACACAAGAGACAGCCAAGACAGCACTGCATCGCGAATCTCCGGATGCAGGCAGACCCATCAAACGGAATGACACGTTACCGGTGCCGGACACACTTGACGCCCAGCAAATGATGCAAACCCTGACGACCTGCATTCAAGGGTCCCCCCAGCGCAGGAAGGTGGAGTATGATGCGATTTTCTTCAAACGAAACTTGGCTAAGATTTTAGTACAGGAACTTGACTCGTGCTGGTTAACACAGTCCAGCCAGCAGCTGATTTTGGCTAGAGGGTCGGAATATCTCCGTTTAACGTGTGACGCTACATAATTTGGAGTGTCGAGTTATCGACGGCAAAACGACCCCGCGACATACCCGTCGGCGTCCAGGCGGACGGACTCTCCGAGAGGACAGTCAGGGACAACCGAAGGCAGGACGAGGGTCTTTGCGCCGCTCCATAACCCCCATAATATAACTCGCCTATACTAGATCTTGACTAGCATCTGGCCTGGGGGATCAGCTTCCCCCAAGATTCGGCTAGCTCTTCATTCCTTCGACCTTCTCGAGTCTGACTGGCGGATAGGCTTGCCGGCTATACATCCGCAGGCCGAAGAGAGATGCCAGAAACAGGTATAAGGCCCAGTAAATTGGAATAGACGCCACTGAAAGGATGCTTGGCGTCTCAACCGATAGCTTCTGCGACCGCGCCAGGTCTGCATAATGGCCCTCGCTTAGTGGGATTACCGCTGCCTACTGGCTAGCAAATTGATGTTGCACACAGCATCTCTGTGGGTCTCGCTGTTCATCTTGGGTGGCCCCCCCCTGCCGTATATACACACGACTGCTCTCAAAAATAGCGGGAGAAAACTTTAAACTATTCAATTGTCGCAAATCTTCTTCGGCCTGACGTTCTCATGTGTGAACGACGTCAGTATGGGTATGGAGAGCTATGATGATTTCCGCGCACGCCTTGATGGCGCTGCCATCTCTACGTACATTTTAGCCACTCTCGCCGTACCTGCGAAGCTCTGGTGTCGAACCAGAGTGGGCGGTTGGTCTAACATTGGCATGGATGACTGGCTGTCGATTGCGACTCTGTTCTGGATGAATGTGTTCTTCTGGATCACCATGATCGGTAAGGCCATACCCCCTTTTCAGCCAGATATCGTTCTGTATTGTGGTTTCTATCATCAGTCCGGTATTTCTCACAGTATCCCCAGGTCTACGGCCGTATCTTGGTCGCAATGCCGGTGAGGATGTCCCGATGGACGAGGTCGAATTGTTTTCCAAATGCCTATTCGCCGCCGCCCTAACGTACTGCGTCGCCATCGCATTCATTAAGTTCACCATCTTGGCTTTTTACTGGAAACTATTCTCTGTTACTGCCCGGATACCGATTATGGTAATTTTTGCGTCCGTCGCAGCCTGGCTCATCACTTTCGTACGTACTCTTCCTTGGCCACCTTTCCGACATGCGAAGCCGAAATCGCAATAGGAGGAATTGGTGATACTAATTTGTCTTCGTTCATGTAGCTGTGTCTTGGAGCTTTTGGTTGCCAGCCCATCAAGGCCCAATGGGACTTCGTAGCAATGGCAACAGCCAAGTGTCTACCGCAAAAATCGATCTATCTAGGCGGCTCCCTACCGAACGTCATCATCGATTTCGTCCTCGTCCTCATGCCGATCCCCTATGTCTGGGGACTCAACGTCCCTCTCGGCCAGCGACTCATCTTGGCCGGCATGTTCCTGCTCGGTCTCTTCGTCTGCATCGTCTCCATCATCCGACTTACCGAGGTCATGTCCATTTCGACGAGCGACACCAACATCACCTACAATCTGAAAAACTTCATGCTCTGGTCCATCGTCGAGATCAACATCGGCCTCGTCTGCTCCTGCCTGCCCAGCCTCCGCCGGCTCGCGAAGACTCTTGGCCTCGGCGCTCTGTTCTCCCGAGGCTCGAGCGCCAACAAGGCCTCTGGCACCCCGGGCGGCAACACCCCTGCGCCGACAACTGCGGGAGGAAATACGGGAAACCAAAGCAACGGTGGCGGTAGCCGGTTCCACTCGATGTTGAAAAGCAGGGGCATCTGGTCATCGGTGGCAGGTCTGACAAAGCTGGACAGCGACGAGGAGTACCAGATGATCGACCATCAGCACAAGCACGCGGCCAATCCGCAGGGGAAGACCACGACTGGAGTCACAGGCGAGCGGCGGAGCAGGGACACAGAAGACGACAAGGAGCACAGTGTGAGGACGATGGACGACCAACCAGGCATAACGGTGCATCACGACTGGAGTGTTGTGGTCGATAACAAGCCGAATGCTACGAGATGACCCAAAAAGGGAACAAAAAGGAGGTAGAGTTTCATCCCACTAGTCCGGGGAAAACAGCATCGGGCCCGGGGTTTGTAATTTTTGGCATGCATGTACTAGATACGATCATAATAGAATATATTATAAGCACCCTGCATGTACCGCCAACGTATTGATGATTGACCCGGCTACCACCTACCTTAATAAGCGGCAATTGGCCTGTCAGAAGCTGCGAACGAGCCGATTCGCTGCCCAAGCTCCTTTCAGGTGCGGCACTTCTTCGGTGGCCATAATCCTTCGCGTGCAGGACAAGCTTACAAGTACGCTCTGGTGTGTCCGTTGTAGTGAGGCCTCTTATAGCTGGTGACGGTGTTGATATACTTGCTTTAACCTCGTTTAGTTTTAAGCAGTTACCTATGTAGTTAACCAATATCCATGGAGCAGTATTTTAAACCGCTGCCTAATATCAACAATAAATTAATAGCTGCAATTATTAAATAAATTGTATTCATTTATCCTGATTGATGTGGGGGGTTCAACACACAGTCAAACAACCTCTTTGCTATTTCGTCGTCTTTGTTTTCTTAGTTGTATAGTAACTACGCGTGTCCATTAACCACGAGAATCCACATGCTCTCCTACGTTCTTGAGGATAGCTTCAAGGCATGTATAGGACTAAGATAATGGAAAGGAGCTTCATCTTTTTTACGTCTTAGAACCACCTTCTGCGACTAAGGGTACTGATAATCTTCCAAGTAAATAACTTCATAATTCGTTATCTACGTTAGATCAATAGTAATTCCGGGATAACTTTAGTTGTATCTCCCTTTTTTCTCCTTAAATCTTTTCCTCTTTTGTTCTCCTATTTTCTGTCACATCATTCTACACGTGACTAGGCCCCGACACCAAAGCAGGTCCATATCTGACAGGCACAAAAATAGACATCTCTAATTCGTAATTCAAACCATACAGACAAAGCAGCGAACGCTAATTCAGCCATAAGCCTTTAAATCCACCCCGGATTGAGACTTTTTCTCGCTGTTTCACTCAGCAAGTGTTGTTGGCTAGAAATATGCCTCAATCCGAAATAGCCGCTATGGATGCACGTATGGAAGATCAGACAAAAAGCGCGTTTGGGTTAACATATGTCCACGAGCCCCAGGCAGAACACACCCACACCATCATTCTACTCCATGGACGGGGGAGTTCGGGTGAGGAGTTTGCCGAGGAGCTTTTTGAGGGCCGACTATCTGACCAGTCAAAGATTCTGCCGTGTAAATTCCCCAGCTGCAAATGGGTTTTCCCATCCTCCCCCGAGGTTTGGAATCCAGTATTCCAGGAGGATATCTCTGCTTGGTTTCAGGCACATTCCCTCACCGATGTCGATGCCAGGCAGGACTTGCAGATTCCTGGGATTAAGCAATCTGTCGAATATATATTGACCTTATTGAGTCAAGAGATTGATGCTCTCGATGGCAGGGCAGAGAGCGTCTTTCTAGGCGGCATCAGTCTAGGAGGGGCCGTGGGCTTGTGGGCTCTTCTGTGTTTGTGGAATGCGCCGGTCCCCAGACGCATCGGGGGTTTCTTCGCAGTCAGCACATGGCTTCCTTTCTCCAAAAATATCAGCCGAGTTCTCAATAAGGTTAAGAATTCCGGGCCAGAGTTGCCAAGTGATGGTTCCGAATCTGATACGTTTGTCGAAACCATGCTCTCACCTGCGATTGCCAAAGAACAAAACTCTTCATTTTTATCTATACCAATATTCCTAGGTCATGGATCAGACGATGCATATGTCAATGTCAACTTAGGAAGACAAGCAAGAGACTTACTGCTCAAAGTCGGGTTTCAGGTGGAATGGAAGGAATATTCAGGGGCAGAACAAGAGGGACACTGGCTAAAGTGTCCTGAGGAGATGGATGATATTGCTTCATTCTTGTCTCAGAATATCATCAAATGATAAATGCTAAGAATAAGTATTTGGTAGTCTGAGATCGAGTGTTCCCACTCCTGGGTGTGGGCGACAACTCCACAACGGATTAGAGAAAGTTGTGATGATTGACAGATATTATTCTTCACGACTCAAGCGAGTCGCACTCCACACTTAGCAACCCATAGAGGGAACCTAAGATATTTCCAAAATGCCAACTATTAATATTCGGCTAGTTGCTTGGGTAGACAAGTCATGCTCGCTGTTCAGCTTTGGACTTACCTGAAATGCTGTATGGTCCTTGCCTGCGCAAGCCGAAGGCACTCATCACAGCAGTAATTAATCCTATGAACATTCCCATCTAAAGCTCCGTGTGAGCGTGTTCTGATACTAATCCCGGGCTCAATCAAGACGCATCAAGTGGAGAGCTCAAGGCCAAGAGAAACGAGTGGGGAAAGAGAGGTTCAGGGTCATTATTGGTGAGAGCGGAATCAACACATTGAGTACTCCGTCGATACACGTGTTTGTTTGGCCTGTCATGACCTTCCTTATGCTCAAGTCCGCCGAAATATATAATAGACATGTTCCCCCAAGTGGCCGACATCGAAACTCCTTACAATTGTTGTGTCTCCTACCAAAATCTAGTTGACAGGGCTCATCAGATTCAAATCTCCATCGGACTCGACTCACTCTTTACCCCACACAACCATTGATTCTCACAATGGCGGCAACGGAGATATCGCAGCGCGAGGTGGACAAGGCCAAGGCACTCACCAACGTTCCTGTTTCCGTCGAATATGACAAGATGATATCCGGCATGTTGTACGTTTGAACGGATTTCCTATGTTATTCAATAGCAGAGTTGTAGAAGATGCAGCAGAGTCATGGCTAACCGTACCTCAATTCAGATACAACTCCTTCGTCCCAGAGCTTGAAGAAGCTCGCTTCAAGGCGCGGCTCGCATGCCACAACTACAACACCACATTCCCCGCCAAGCCCGAGGAGGGCTTCGCGGGCCTACAGAAAGCGCGCGCGGCAGCCCTCAAGGACCTCCTTGGCTTCATCGCCGACGACGAGATCTTCATCGAGCCCCAGCTCCAGGTCGACTACGGCTGCAACATCCGTGTCGGCGAGCGCTTCTACGCCAACTTCAACCTCCACATCCTCGACTGCGCCCTCGTCACCATCGGAGACCGTGTCATGTTCGGCCCAAACGTCACAATCAGCACGGCGACGCACGAGATTGAGGTCGAGAGCCGCCGGGCCAACATTGAGTTTGCGAAGCCCATCACTATCGGGGATGATTGCTGGATCGGCGCCAATGTGGCCATCCTCGCGGGCGTCACGATCGGCGAGGGATGCACAATTGGGGCCGGGGCGATTGTCACCAAGGATGTTCCTGCTTGGAGTGTTGCTGTGGGATGCCCTGCCAGAGTCGTGAAGAAGGTCACTCCAAGCCCTCTCCCTGCAAAAGAAGCATGATACACAATCCGAGGAAAAGGAAATCCAAGAACAAGAGCAGCTAAACCCTATCCTACAAAACAATCACACTAAAGTCTGCTTTTATTCTTGAAACTGATGGTAATTGGATATATCCATGTGCCTTCCATCAGCTATGCCTACCTAAGCTTTTGTGGAATTTAAAAAGTTTTTAAGAAAAAACAGAGTTAAAGGTTGAGTACGCAAGTGGGTGAAATAAAACATGGCACACCAAGGCTCTTTTCGCATAAGGCAGGGGCAGGGACCTCCATTCTAACGAAATAAGATAACAATAAACAGCCATTCTATGATATTTAGCTTGATATTGTATTCAGTACTAGATTAATTGTTCTAATACTATGTTGAAATTCAACGCTGTACGGACCGGAATCGCGTGGATTTGCATAAACCACNCCCCCCCCTCCTTCTCCCCAAAAAACAAACACGAAGCTTGCTAATTTATACTTTCCTATACCTTTACGTGACCACTAGGTCAAAGCTTTACACCTGCTGACTCCTTTCTATCAAAGATTATCTCTCCGTCACGATGCTTATTCTAAGTTTAAATTATGACTCATGTACTTGGCTCATTTACTCGCCACCGTCAGCTACAAAGTTGAAAACACAAAGCAGTGGATTATAAAACAGCCCACCCTCTTCCATCTTTTCTCACAATAACTACATCTCTCTTCCATCCTTGCTCACAATAACTACACCTCTATTCCATCCTTGCTCACAATATGGCCTGGACCTCGCTACCTCCAGAGATAAGGCTTCTGGTCCTCGAAGCTCTCGTGGAGGACGATGACTGCAACTTTGCAGACTTGGCTGTAGTTTCTAAGGAGTGGAAGGGAGTGATCGAGCAACAAAATTTCCAACGAATCAAACTCACACCGCCACGTATCGCTGAGCTCGATACGATGACACTTCGTAACCGAAACCACGTACGTTACTTGTGGTTTTGCCTAGAACTCGAACGATACGATTGTCCACAGTGCACTCCTGAGGATGAGCTTGTTCCCTTTATGAACACCAGAGACATTACTCTCATCAAGGCAGCATTTCACCATCTCTTCTCAGTAATCAGCAACTGGGCACCAGATAGCTGTCTGTCACTTGATATAAGTGTCTACTCAGCAAGCGACCGAGACCATTGGTTCAAATATCTAACCTTTGAGCCTGATGCCCCGCCAAAGGCGGGTAGGCATGATCAAGAGCTGGATCCAGAGACAGTGCTGGCTAGGCAATATGACCACAGACATCAATGGGAAGAATCTGACTTGGATCGGCATCCTCAGCAATGGCAGAGGTTGCCTCTGGTTCCTCTGCAATCTGCTATTGAGAAGGTCTTTGTCCAGATCATGGGAATTGGCGATAACTATAACGCGCAAGACAAGGATTGGTGCAGGCAGTTGCCACAAGTACCAGCAGTAACACGTATCTTATTGCGCCAACAAACCCGCCGTCGGTGGAACTATGCCGACCTTGCTGAGATTTTTGCTCATCTTCCTAGACTGCGTGAGCTTTGGTATGAACCTTGGAGAGAGTGGGATAATGGTTTTCAGGAAATGAAGGATGAAGGTGAGTCCCCCCTTACTGTTTATTTACGCGATTCGTCGTATATTGTATTGGTCATAAAATGAATGCTAAAACTTCCTAAATAACAGAATTTATAATTGACCTTCTTCAGTCGCCTCCCCTTAGGAGGCTGAGTAGTTTAACTATCTTCGAAAATTTCAATGACCGGTATGCCCAAGCCTATATGCCAATACATTGCGAGGAAGTTCGGACTCCAAGCTTTGATATTAGTCAAATGCTTTCCAGCATCAGTGTCAACTTTGACCATCTCTCCGCGTCGTTCATGGTAGATGCGGGCGATTTCTTCGGGGCCGAAGAGTGCCAACCCCCTCAGAGGTGGCCAAATCTGAAGTCTCTGGTCCTTACCTCGGAGATGCTTGACCCATATGAGAGTCATACCAACATTATGGATATGCTTCGAAAAGCGGCATTAAGGAGTGCTTATATGCCACAGCTCGAGACCATGGAAATATGGAATGGGGGAGTAGGTCTCGCGGCACTCTTCAGATATGATGGACGAACTCAACCTTCCATTCTTGAGTGGAGAAGCACCTGGGATATTAAGCTGGGACTCTCCGTTATCCGGGCTTGGGAAGCGGTTAGCATGAGGCGGTCGGGTCGCGGAGTGGAATTGGTGTACGACATGCTTGATAGCGAGAATATCCATTCTCACGCTGACGCTATACTCGCACTGGATTTGTCAGAGCTCGTCATTCGGCCTGTTTCGTTGCATCAAATCCGGAGGAAACACAGTTGGCGCCGCATTGCCGACATACTGACATAGGCCGACAAATGGGTGGCAGGAGAAATGAGACACCTAATGGAAGAGCGGTTATAAACAGACTACTTTCTAGGATAAAATAAGAAATTTAGTAGTAGAATTGAGATAAAGTAACAATATATGCTGTATTATTTCTCGAGTATGTATTATTCGTCCTTAATAACCTGATAATACTGATCGCAGACTTGAGAATAAGCAGCTCATTGTTTGAGTGTCTCAATTTCAATATCATCCACTTGGGTAATTACTTATCCGAGGCAATGAGAAGAGATACACGCTTTTTTTATCTATAAGATGCTCTCGGCGTTAGAGAGTCTGCTTGTGCGAGCCGACCCCCTCACCCGCTTCAGTACCAACCAATATCCTAAGATATCTCTTGATATATTGTCCCTTGCTATTGGTCAGCTCTATCTAGGGGACATCGCCTTAGATGGGCTAGCCTTTTTAATGAGACAGTAACAGTATACAATGTACCATCCTTTCTAATTGATCATCTCGAGAACCCCGCTTCCATCGCCGAGCCCCTTGCAACTCCTCCACTCATGCCCGGCTGTGACGTTCTATCTGCCGAGGCTGTTTTGAGTCCCTCTCCCACTTTCTGATTTTTTCAGTGCCTGTGTATCCGTAGCTTTTTGATAGGCACAGAGTCGAATGGCGTGGATTAAACTAGCATATAGTGGCAATGGTAACGTCACTCAATATCGTCATCCCTCCCGGATCAAACACCAAGCCACGCGCTAGAGCATATTTCACTTCACTTCACTTCTTTTCAAACATCATTGATACACATTTACATACACAAAATGGTTTATCTTCCGAGGACAACCCCGATCATCGTAGGCGTCGGCGAAGTGAAGAACAAATCACTCCATCTCAACGACGCCATCGAGCCGGCAGAGTTGATGGTCTCGGCAATACGAAAATGCTTCAAAGACACGGGAGCCAACGAGAACGATGTCCGCTCAGCAATTGATGGCTTGCTAGTCGTACCACCATGGACGTGGCCATATTTTGATTTGCCGGGCGTGATCTCGAAGAAGGTCGGCTTCTCGCCATCGCACTCCCAGGTGGGTGTACACGGAGGACATCAGCCCAACGAGTGGTGTGATGAGGCCGCAAGACGGGTTTCCACAGGGGAGAGCAAGGCGGTGATCATCACGGGGGGTGAAGCTCTTGCATCACGTATGTCAGCTCCTTAGACTCCCCCAAGTACTGTTTTCTTCTGACATGTCCCGATAATTATATGCAGTGGCAGCATGTGAGAAAGCTGGCAAGGTCCATCCGCCAGGGTGGACTGAACCAGATCCTGAGAAGAAAACTGTCCGCGTAGGGGATCTTTCAGCTCGTGAACAAAGTAGGGAGCCAGTGTTCATCTCATTGTGCCGTTTTCTAATACGGTGAAAATTAGACATCGGGACAAAGCACTTGATTGGGCTGCCGATTCATATCTACCCGATGTACGAGAACAGCCTGAGAGCATATACACGCCAGTCAATTGAAAAGAACACTATTGAATCTGCACAACTATACGAGGCCTTCGATAAAGTCAGTAGCCAGAAAGAGTACAGCTGGAGGAGCGGGGAAGTCCCGAGAGATGCAAGAGAAATCGGGACATTTACCAAGAAGAATAGGATGGTTTGCTCTCCTTGTAGGTCATACGTCTGCCACACGAGGAAGCCTAGACAATTATATATTACTAACTCTGATTTCACAAGATCCTCTTTTAATGAATGCCTTCAACACCGTGAACCTTGCAGCAGCTTGCCTCATCACTTCTGTCGAGCAGGCTGAGAAATTAGGCATTCCCAAGGAAAAGTGGGTGTATATCTTGGGAGGCGCGGGTACCCATGAGAGGGCGCACTGTAAGTGAGAATGACTGCAGTCTCAGAGTATATATTATACTAACATCCCTAGTTTGGGAGCGGTCAAACTTCCATTCTAGTCCCGCCATGCAACAAGCTCTCGATGCTGCTCTAGAAGTGTCTGGCGTAACCAAGGACGAAATAGATGCCTTTGATATCTACTCGTAAGTGCAGTCTGTGGAATTATTTGCCTTTGGCTTTCCTGTCTTACTGTCCTACCCAATTAGATGCTTTCCCATTGTCCCCAAGCTGGCCTGTAGGCACCTGGGGCTAAACGTGGTTTCTCCATCTAAGCCAATAACACTTCTCGGAGGTCTCACTTCGTTTGGCGGAGCAGGGAATAACTACTCAATGCATGTAGGTAGGCTGTTGGGGGATATCTACAATAGAGTCACTAACAAAAACAGGCTTTGGCAGAAATGACCCGACAGATAAGAAGTGGCACAATACAGAGAGGGCTTGTCCTAGCAAACGGAGGCGTGCTTTCTCATCAACACGCCGTATGTCTTTCTTCTCAGCCCAGGAAAGGCAAGGAAGTATATCCCAAGAATAATCCTCTACCAAAAATTGCAATTGGCGAGGCTTGGGGAACCCCATTTAAGGAGGTTGCGCAGGGCGCCGCATTCATCGAGGTAGGGTTGTCCAATGTGATTGATGGCTAGAGGCTTAGTATGGCTGCTTACAGAATTGACAGACTTACACTGTTGAGTACAGTCGCGATGGTCAGCCACGTGTAGGACTCATCGTCGGCAGGCTGAAGAATGACGGACACCGCTTTCTTGCCAACCATGGGGACGACTCTACACTTCAAAAGCTGGCAGATCCTAGTTGGGAGCCTATTTACCAGCAAGGCAGAGTAAGCGGTAGCGATGACGGGAGAAACTTGTTCTTCTTTTCGACCGAGTCCAAGATTTAACGCAAGCGAGATGCAGTGAGGTCTAGATCTAGTCTTCTAAGCTAGTACATGGAACAGATTATTCTATGTCTCTGCATTCTCAAATGTCGCGTCTCTCATTCCTTTTTCTGTCATGGCTTCAATTCACTCTATCTATCAAGACCACGGCAGTTCTCAGAGGTCTCAGCAGTAATCTCGTCATAAGGTGAAGGCACCGTCCAAATCAAATCGTAGCGATCTTCGGGGTAGTTTTCGACATCCTCGGCACCAAGCGCCTCGAGAATGTTGTTCATCTGACCATGCTGCCAGCTGTTCATCGAAGGGAGAAGACAGTCAGCATCAATTGCGCGTGAGGGTTGGGGAGTGGGCATACCAGAGAAGAATGTTTTTATCCCCCTTGTAGTTCTGAATTAACTTCTTGACGCATTCGCTATCATCGCGGTCGCAAGAGGTGTCTACTTCGAGACCAAGATCGCTGGCCACCGGGGCGACAGTGTCATAGGGTCTCTTTCTCTTGCCGCCTATATGGGATTTCAGATCAATAAATGGGCTCACCAAGGTTGGAATTGATCGCAAGGGCGGAAATAGACTCACTCTTCTTGTAATCTTGAGCGATGACGTATCCGATGTTGCACAGGGACTTGAATCCAAAGACCCTCCGCAGGCATTGAGCGCGCTTCCTACCTTTTCGGCTCAATCCGACACTACCATCGTCGGGCTTCTCGCCATGACGGATCATGTAGAGCGCAGGCTCACAGGCAACCAGCGTGGCGAGTAGCAGAATCGCGAGAGCCTTCATTTTTGCGATGCCTGAACTGTGCAAGGTGAAAATTGGCCAACCTGGCCGGTGCGTGCGTGACGGGATGGGATCTGGGATATTATTATGTCAGATCCACCAAACGCCGACTTAGGTAAACTGAGACACGATGTGATTTTGATAGTCACGCGACCAGCAGCCACTTCCCTACAAAGCCTCTGCTGAAATGAGGGACAAGAGTTCTGTCAGGCCTCACGAAAGTGCGCATGTGTACGCCCTAGCACGCAGCTTGCCCACGTGTTATGTTCACGATCAGTCACTTGGTCACATCCCACGACGCGTTGACATAGGCCTGCAGATCAAGCAACAAAGCGGGACTATATTCTAGGGCTTTGTTCCAAGAACCTTCCTGTCCCGTTCTAAACTCACTTTGGATGCCGGCAGTGATGCAGTGCGTGGTCCGGATACCGGATGCTTGCTCTGCTCCTTTACGAGGCCAATCAATCAAGGCGAAAGCTACCGTAGGAGGCTTTTCAGTGGGAACATCAGGCGATTTTGACGAGTCTATATCATCCATAGAGTCATACAAACAGGTAATGCAGCCTAACAAGCCCTTCCATTTAGACAATGGACATATTGGACGATCTCGGAGAGGCCCCATCGGCTACGAAGACTCGGCATGCATAAGCGTGCTACTGCGTTTACGACGCTGCAGGGTTCGCGCTACAGAGGGTATGGGCTGAACCTATTCTTCGTATGGCCAGGCGTGCATGTTAGAGGGATACATCCAAATCACGCTGGCCTACTTCCGCATTGGAAACGCCAAGTCGCCTAGGCGACGAGACGACGCTGAACCCCGACCGTATGCAGTTTATTAGATCCAAACGAATACAGCACAATATATGCTTATTGGTGCTAATCATGCGTGTGTATTTATCTCTTGCGCGGAGCCATATTGTATTCTTATAGCTGCAAGCATGCAGCTAAAAAAAGGTTGAGTCTAACAGCGAAGATAATGTGCAATGCTTGCAGCCACAAGAATGCAATATAGCTCCGCGCAAGAGATTAATACACACGCATTATTAGGTATCCCAAATAAGCACTTGTTATTGGCCGTATTCGTTTCTTATTGTTTTTGATCCGCATTATGACTTGTCTCCGTTCTGTGATTCAAATTATCAACCAGACGCCGCCGAGGTAGCCAGTATAGGAAACCCAAGCGCCGGGCGGTCAAACAGCCAACCGCCGAGGGCTCAGCGCTGCACCGGTCCATGAACGGAACAGGAGGATGCCCTTACTCTGAAAAGTTCGTGGCTATTCGATCGAATGCGACATCTTGCATATCCGTATCGTATTGGGCATGGTAGGGTGACAGTCACAACAGGGTGGAATCACCAAGTCGGACGATGGGCGTGGGAGGGTGGTGGTACATCTGAAGCTCTCCAGCGAGACACAGGCGACTTTGCGCGAATTAAAACGAATAGTAGGTTGATCAGGGTAGTCGGGATGATTCTGCTCTCTGAGGCAGTCAGCCGCAAGGTGATTCCGATGTGGTCGAGATGTCTGGGGGGCGGAGGGTCGGTTCGTAAAATGGCTCAATCGTCGCGGTTCGATCGCGAGGCTACGGAGCCTGAAATATACTCAGTCTGATCAGTCAGCATCGCACATACAGGTCATACCATAGCCAGTCGTCATCGAATAGTCGAGGTCGCGGTTGTGACCAAGAGGGTCGAATGGTGGGGAGTCAAGGTCGTGAAGCCTGTGTGGGATTCTGTGTTTCTTGCAGCAGCCAGGATTTAAGATTTTCCGAAGCGCTCAGCTGAATTTCCAGCACCTACCCTAGACACAAGCTCCAAACCTTCATGTAATTCTTCAAAAACATTTCGGTAACCAGCCGACAAGACGCATATACTAACATGCAACGGCCATTGATGCGAGCATACGAGCAATCTCATCTCACATTGATTTGCATGCCACGTTTCAATCATGGCAATCTTCCAGCAGCTGTGATCGGAAATGCGACTCGTTCAGGACTAGTGTTGGCTGCCATTCAGGGGTCTCCACTGCCTGTCAAGTGAATCGGATCGTGCATGCATCAAAAACTTGATCATTATCAGACACAATGAGCGGCAAGACTGGTCTGGTAACAGGTGCAAGCGGGTACATCGCCCTCCATGTCGTCAATCAGCTCCTCGAGGATGGTTGGACGGTCCACGCGACAGTCCGCAGCCTCCAAAATGCTCGCAAGGTCCAGCCCCTGCACGACCTGAGTGCCAAGTATCCCGGGAAGCTTCAGTTGTTTGAGGCAGACCTGCTGGTCCCAGGCTCGTTCCTGCCAGCAATGAAGGGCTGCGACATAGTCTTCCACGTTGCGTCGCCATTCATCATGCCTGAGCACACCAAGAATCCCCAAAAGCAGCTCATTCAGCCCGCGCTTCAAGGAACCAGAAACGTTCTGGGTGCCGTCAATGAGACCGAGAGCGTCACGCGCGTGATCTTGACTTCTTCAAGTATGAACCATCCATTCTTCACTTGTCCCTACCTCCACCTTTCCTCGGGCAAGAGGGCATCTGTCAACTACATGAATTGGGTTACTGACCTATGTTTTCAACCATAGCCGGTGCCATGTACGGTGACAAGGCGGAGGTGCTGAAGATGGAGAACCAGACGCTGCACGAGAGCTCCTGGTCCCAATATGTCTCAATCAGCCACAACGCGTACCAGTATTCCAAACTCCTCGCAGAGAAGGAGGCCTGGAAGATGGCAGAGGCCCAGGACCGGTGGGACCTGGTCGCCATGTGCCCCGGGATGGTCCTGGGCCCATCCCTCACTTCCGGCTCCATCTCCGGCAGCCTCGACCTCATCGACCAGCTCATGAGCGGACACGTCTTCTTCGGGGTCCCGGATCTGCACTTCGACTTTGTCGATGTCCGGGACGTGGCGGCCGCCCACATCAGCGCCGCGACGACCCCGATGGCGCGCGGGAGGTACATCATCTCGACGAGCGCAACCACGCCGCTGGTGGAGGTGTCCAAGGAAGTGAGGAAGATCCACAAGCACCCGTGGCTGCTGCCAACGTGGAATCTGCCCAACATCATCTTCCGCTTGGTAGGGCCGTTCATGGGGCTTTCTCAGGCGTGGATGGTTGGCAACTTGTCCATTGCCTTCAAGGTCGATAACACCAGGGGCATCAAGGAGCTCGGGATAGAGTACCGGCCCCTACAGCAGACACTAACTGACCAATACCAAGCGTGGACTGCCCTCAAGAAGAAGAAGTGAAAGGATGAAATATATCGAGCCATCTACACGAAGCTTGGTTCTTATCTTGCCAGCGTCCAACCCAAGGGCTGCTTATCTGTTTAATCATACAACCTGTTTGTTAATGCTAGCATAGATTCATAATAGATTAGTGTAATAGAGCCTTCCCTTCGATAAGTGATGCATTACCCAACTATTCAAACATCAAACATGTGATAGTTTAAGCCAGCTATGCTCAATGCAATCCAGTCGCACAGAAATGAAAGACAAGGTGTGGACATTCCGCGACACTCAGAGCTTGGCCCCTCTCTTAAGCGCTATCGCCATCTCCTGTCTTACCGCCAGATCGGTGATGATCTCCTCACTCCCACCCCCAACGATGTTGACCCGCACATCGCGACTGATCTGCTCGACGCGGCCTCCCAGCCCGCCGCGCTGATAACCCTGCCCTCCAAAGATCTGCTGTGCCTCTCGCGACGCAAGCTCCAGGAGACGGCCGCCGTGCACCTTTGCCAGCGCGATCCTCGAGGCGAGCTCAGGCCCCATCTCCCCGCCGTTGACCTTGCAGTGGTATGCGATCTGCTCGATCCACGCCCAGTGCGACTCGATGTAGCGGGCCAGCGTGGCCAGCTTGTGCCGGATGACCTGGTGGGAGAAGAGCGGCTTGCCAAACGTCTTGCGGTTCATCGCGTACGCCCAGGCGTCCTCAAGGCAGATCCGCGCCTGCGTGTTCATGCCAGCGGCCATTGCGAACCGCTCCCGGTTGAAGTCTAGTTAGCCCCCCCGAGTCAGCGGATGTTTCGCCACGGCGTGTCGAGAAACCCTTACTTATCATCAGGTACTGGAAGCCCTCGTTCTCCCGCCCGATGAGGTGATCGGCGGGGACCCTGACGTTCTCCAGCGTCACCCAGGTGCTGTCTGCCGCGTTCCAGCCGCTGTTCTTGATCCTGCGCCGGGTGACGCCAGGCGAGTCGAGAGGGATGACCAGCATGGAGACGCCGGCCATGCCTGGCCCGCCGGTCCTGACGGCGGTCGTCATGTACGTCGCGCGGATCGCGCCGGTGATCCATTTCTGTTTTGGTCTCGTGTTGGCAAAAAGGTCACAAACCAGGAGTGCGGGATCGACAAACCTTGTGCCCATTCACGATGTACGCTTGACCGTCCTCGGTCTTCGTCGCTGTCGTCTTAAGATTGGCCAAGTCCGAGCCACCTGGCGAGTTTCAGACGTTAGGGACTGAAGCACTGCAACGGGCGTTTCAATCGGCTTACCTGTGGGTTCGGTGGCCCCGAGGCAGAAGCTGACCTCTCCTGTGAAGATCCCCGGGAGCCAGTCTCGCTTCTGCTTCTCGGTGCCGTAGACGATGATGGGAGGGATCCCAATTAACGTGCCTCCAGCCAGGCCTACTGTGACTCCGGCGTAGCCAATCCTACTCACCTCATGGTTCACCACGAGAGAATGGAAGATATCCCAGTCTGATGAAGATAATGCCCCGGGTCAGTTTATTCGTTGAATTCTCAGCATGGAAAAGGCGTCGCGTCAAACGCTCAAACGAGACCTGGTGTTTACCTTCATGCGAGATACCCGCGGGCAGCCCAACAGCACCAGAGTACTCGGGAGGGATGCCCTGGAAGGCCAACCCCGAGCGCGCGTAGTGCTTCCTGGCCTCGTCCGGCACGTGGCCGCTCTCCTCCCACTCCTCTACGTAGGGGACGACGTGCTCGCTCAGATACTGGCGGACGTAGTCGCGGACGCGCCTGTGGCTCTCATTGTAGTATGGCGATGCGAGGTCGTTGTACCACGCAGGCTCGGCGAACGGCGCAAGATTGCCAAATGGTTCTTGATCTTGTGAAGGGGCCATTTCCTTGAGCTGTGTGATGAAACGGATGATGGAGATGAATGATTAACCATTCTCGCCCTCTGGTGAGGTACGGTCATGATGATGGCCGTGCAGCTTACACCGCGGGGAAACAGATTGACCGGGGTGTTTGTGCCGAGGCATCTTCAGCATCTCCAACACCAAAGAATCACAGCGACCAAACAGACACCTTACACACCACCTGACGGAAATACTGATGCCAGCACCATCACGTCTGATTGATGCAAAGAGTTCTTTCCGTCCAGGCGTGTGTAGGGTAAGGCGGGCTCACAAGAAATTACCTGGCGACAGCCGGCTGTGGGGGTCGTTATCTCTTATCGCATCCTGCAGGGTCACTGGCAAACTGGTCAGTGATGATCTCGGCTCGTGCGCCTGGAACGAGGAGATGAAGGAGCTGTCAGTGCCTGACTACTGCAGCCCAACAGTGAATTGCCGTCGCCGCAGCCAAATCACAGCCGGGCATTGTGAGACATGCATCTCTAGCTCTGGCGAACTGCCTGTAGGCCACACGTGGCGTGCGTCCGTTTATGAGCATCCTGTCTTCTTCTCAGGGTCCCTACAGCCTCGCTTGCATCATGCGGAATATTGTTGAGCCAGCGTTGCAAGCAAATGTGCGGTCAGTTAGCCCTGCTCTCCGTATGCGAGCTTTGGTATGATGCAGATACAGGGGGAGGCAAGCTATTTTTTTTCTGTAATTTTTTTTTATTTGTACGCGTATTTTGTATCAATTGAGAGCTGAGGGGATATGCGGGGCCTAGATTGGGTTGGGGAAAGGGAGAGGGACCAGCCAGGGCAAATGCGAGGTGGGAATGGACCAATTGGAAGCGAGATAGATCCGGGATTGCAAACCTGCCCAAGCAACGTGTCAAAATCTCTTGATAGCAGATGCCGAAGATTGTCGTTCTATCAGGAACCACCTAACAGGAAGAGGCAGGTATCCCTTGACCAGGCCTCGGATCGGCAGTCCCTGCCACCGCCTCCTCGCAATGGCCTGATATGTTAGGCGCCAGGCACGTGCTTGTCGCGCATCACAGCAGGATGCTGCTGGTGGCCTCCCGTCTTATGCCGTGGACAGCAGGAAGGCGGTCGATCAGTCAGTGACAATCTCACGACGAGATGGAGCTCGGGGCAACAGGCAGCTAGCCCGTCACTAGTACCTGGCTCGTGTTTGTTTTCGACTCTGTGCCACGATGGAACTGCCGCTGGCCGCGGTACGTACCCAGGTACACCGTACACAGCCTCAGGGCACGACACGGGAAACAGCTCAGAGCACGCACAGAGTCAGTCAGGCCAAGCTCGGCGCCATCTCAAGATTGTCCCCAGATCCCTGTGGGCCGGTCTAGCCCTTTCGCCTCTCCTCCATTGACAATCTCGGCGGGTCAAATCTCAATTCCTCCCCAACAATTAATCTGTCCTCTATCCCAGGGGCCCTCTCCCTTCCCACGGCTCCACCGAGGCGGGTGTGCAAACTTCAGGCCAGTCGATGCGGTGTCGGGCTGTCGGCAGGCATTGACCACCGCCCGGATCAGATAGAGCATCTGAAAAGAAGGTGAGAGATAGAGAGTGTGCTTCCGCTAGCGCATCCGCTTTTTCGGTCGCCAAGAGGTCGGAGTTTTCAGGGTCCTCCAACTCAGGGTCCGAAACTGACTAGCCAGGGACCAGACGCGACCACTTGGCTCGCACCGGACAGTCCAACGGCTTGCGATTGCTATCGCGGAAGAGGTAAGCGGCGGTCTAAAGGGAGTGTGCTAGGCTCGAAAATTTCACTTTGTGGTTTGGTTTCTGTGGACCACCCCTTTTTATTTGCCTCACGCAAGTACCGCCCGCGGAGGCCTGGCCCTTATTTAACTGAGAATTCTTGTGGGTTGGAGCCGTCCTCCCTTCCCTTGCTTGCTTCGACTTTCCAATCCAGCTTCTGGACTAACCTCACAAGCATCCTTCAGTGAGCAAGGCACCGGAATCATGATCACTGTCACCAAGACCAAGGCGGGCAAGAAGGCCCAGGCCTCAACCACGTAGGTGACAACCCATGCTGAGAAGCCTCATCAGCATCTTGATTTGGAACCCAATTGACTGACTTGAGATGGACACAGGCTCGTGGCTGAACCTCAGTTCCCTGACATCAACACCATCAGGAATGCCATCCCCAAGCACTGCTTTGAGTCCTCTGCTGTCATCGGACTGGCCTACCTGGTCCGTGATCTCTGCATGGCTGTCGGTCTGGGTTATGCTGCCGTCACCTACATTCCCACCATTTCTGATTTCTACCTGCGATCTTTCGCTTGGATCGTCTACGGCTACGTTCAGGGCCTCATTTGCACCGGTATCTGGATTCTGGGCCACGAGTGCGGCCATGGCGCCTTCTCCAAGTACCAGACCTTCAACGATGTTGTCGGCTGGTTCGCTCACTCCATTCTCTGCGTCCCCTACTTCTCCTGGAAGTTCTCTCACCACCGCCACCATCGCTTCACTGGCCACATGGACAAGGACATGGCTTTCGCTCCCCGCACCAAGGCTGATTACCTGGAGCGTATTCTCTCCAAGTTCGAGTTCCTCGAGGACACCCCCATCTACCACATCATCTGCCTTTTCTTCCACCAGACCATGGGATGGACCTTCTACCTGATCTTCAACATCTCCGCCGGTCGCAACAGCATGCAGTACAAGGCTTCTCTCGGCCGCCGCAGCCACTTTGACCCTTGGAGTGGTGTCTTCCGCCCCAGCGAGGCTCCCTTCATTATCCTTTCCGACATTGGTCTTGGTCTCACCCTCTACTCTCTGTACCGCCTCTCTTTCTTCGTCGGTGTCCAGAACACCGCTCTCCTGTACGCTCAGACCTGGTTCTGGGTTCACCACTGGTTGAGTAAGTTCTTTCGCACATCCTATAATCTGAGATTAGAGACACGGCAATTGACTGACATTTCAACCTTTAGTCGCAATCACCTACCTCCACCACACTGACAAGGATGTGCCTCACTACGATGCTGAGCATTGGACCTTTGTCAAGGGCGCCGTTGCCACCATTGACCGCGAGTTCGGTTTCGTCGGCCGCCACCTCTTCCACGGTATCATTGAGTACCATGTCGTTCACCACCTGTTCCCGTACGTTAGATTTCTCCCATGCTGGCTGCGCACAGCTTGAAATGATTATGTACTAACGCATCCCAGTCGCATCCCCTTCTACTACGCTGAGGAGGCCACCGAGGCCATCAAGCCCGTGCTTGGCGACCTCTACCGCCGCGACGAGCGCAGCTTCCTGGGCCAGCTCTGGGACAACTTCTCCAACTTGAAGTATGTCGAGCCTGACGTGGCCATCCCCGGTGCTATGAAATGGGTCACCCGCGCTTAATTGAGCGTCGCCCACCCAGCGCTCGGCTTTCGGCGAATGGTTGTTTTACGAAGAACCGACCAGGGAAACAGAAAGACCCTGAGTCATTCACGAAGAGTTTGTTGTCTATTGTGTACTGGAAAGAATAAAACGGTCGGGCACCACGAATAGAGTTTTCCACGATCACGGCGTTTGATGAGGATAGATTTTCTGCATTAGACAAATCTCACATAGAAGAGGCCCAATCATGAATCAATAGAAGGGCATGCTTATTCTCCGCAACATTGCTGAATCCTTGCCTTTCTTTTCATTTTGTTTCCCTTGAGAGTGATTTATACACTGATCTGCAGTTTACGAATTACTAAACACGGATTATTAAGGATATGCAGCCTCGACATGAATGGACAGTGCTATGACGGTGCTAAGCAATTGATGCGCCTCAGCTAGGCACATGCGTTTCTGCCTCGTTGGGCACAGCCTGCGACAACCCCATTTTGGATGCTTCTCGCTGGTCGGGCGTCTTTTTTAATTCCACTTGACCCCCGCGCGTCGCAAAATCGAAAGATTAATCAGCATCAAGGAATCTTGGGAAGAAAGAAGCCTGCATGAATCTCAATGATCCAAACACCTGCCTTTCACCGCCAAGGCTTATAATTAGCCACGCAAATAGACAACAGCATGGCCGCCGACGCCGCTTTGGAGAGTGTAAGATCGCTGATATGTGCGCTCGACATCATCTTCGCCGTCATCTCGCTCTCCAGTCTGTATGTGCCCTTGTTTTGGAGATCGTGGACATATGAGAAGGGGAGCATCATTCGTCGCGATCTCTGGATCGCTCGTTTCGTCGTCCTCTCCACCCCGTACCGCCTCATCGGATCGATCTTCTCCATCGCCAGCCTCACTCGCAATTCACAGCGACAGACTCTGCTTCTGAAAACGATACAGGCCGTCACTGCCACGCCTCTCGAGATCAGGCTTTACAAGCTCGCCAGGAAAACATGGAAGAAGGCCGTGAAGAGGCAAGATGGTGGAGAGAGCCCCGCGCCCGACATGGGAGGACGGCAGCCTGCGGTGTCAAAGAGCCGGGAGGTGCTCGTCGCGGCCAACGCGCATCGGGATGACTACGAGCGCGAGAAGTTTGGATTCTGGAAGGCCTGCCTCTTTCACTTTAAATGGATCATTCCGGAGGGGATCATGGTTGTCGGGCTCGTGCTCAGTTCGATATACTTGGGCGAGGGCCCGAAGGATCGCCTCGTGCCTGCGGTCTTCATATGGATCTTGCCGTTGGTGGCGGTTGTTCTCAGCCAGGTATGGAGGCACTGCCGGCGCACTGAGACTGAGCGTGTGGGAGAGTTTGCTGGGTTCACGAAGCCATGGGCGGTTGGGACCATGGTGGGATACCTCATATTCTTCGTCGTCTTTTTTGTTGACTTGGAAGAGAGGAAGGAGTATATTAGTAACTGGACGGAGGTATGGGTACAGCTCGCGGAGGCATTGTGTGGAGGTGGAGGATAAAGGGTGTTCAAACACAGGTGCTGTGGTAGTCTCGCCAGTTCACAGAATGAAATCCTACAATATATTGGAGCTACGAGTTCTGAAAAACGTCTCTAAGTTACAGAGGCCCAGGCTACGGTAGTCTAGCCTCAGAGCCTACATGCAGTTTTAAGCAGTGGAAATAACTCTCAGACCCTCATCATGGAGGTCGAGATTAGCTTTGCTTTGGAAGAGTTTCTACACGGCTATCGGATTTCCCATCTTAGCAGACTCGCGGAGAGTTGCTCTCCTAGATGTGTCCCTTACATTGACCATAGTCCATGATGATCGTACCGCATCGCCTATCGCACAATGATTCCGAGAACAATACCTTAAAGAGAGGTGAATGGAGATGCATTAATCTATAACTTAGTCTGTACCGTCTTGCCGTCGTGATACTGAGACGGTCGTACATCCATGTTGTGTCTCTGACAACCGTGCCAACGTCTACGCTCTATTTGACAACAGATTGCCACCCAAAGAAGTCAAATACATCTGATGTGCACCAACCAGGTGGAAGTCACCAGTTACGAACCCATGCTCAACAGTAGCTGACCTATGCCTGCTTGCCTACACAGAGCGATGAAGCCACCTCGTGTAGTTCTTCAAGCTGTTAAAAAGGCTTATCTTAGTATTGCATACATTAGACAACCCCAGTTGATACCTCGCGGCCACTCTTCTTTCCTTGGACCATTGCTCTTAATTTCTGCCAATGTAGCGATCGATGCGTGCCATTAAGATTTCTATATCTAGTTTGGGCAACGATCAAGACTGGGTCTGAGCCGCTGAAGGACCTTGAAAGTATGTAGCGAAGGACAATGGCAGGGGGTTTCACTCACCCATCCGTACTGTAATAAAAGCTCAATATCACCATTACTAATCCACACAAAGCAAATAATGATTCTGTTCTCTAGTAACATTAGATGGCCATTACGTTTCTTTAGCTCGGATGAAATGGCTGCTCTTGCTCGCCTTTCAATATCCACATTTGCCGCGCCCAAACATACCAGAATAGACTCTCAGCCCATTCTAAAAGCGGTGAATGAATGATGATGCCACCAATTAAGTCATCTGTAAGAATTTAGTTCTCGACGCGTAGCTAGTTTGTTTTGCGTAGGGCTCGGCGACTGACGCTTCGGAGACATTTGCATGTTCAGGGTATGTGTTCCGCAATACGCATGGCACCAGGCATATATAAAAACGTGAATGGCCGAAGGCTTGAAAGTACTGCCAAAAGAAGAAATACAAGATTTTATAACTTACAAGGACTTGAATCGTCCGGCCTTGTATCCCCTTCCTCTATAATTTCCAATATCTAGAGTTCCGATCAACAATCTAAGGCCGACACCATGGCAGCGAAAGAGGACCAAGAATACCTCCTCGGTCAGCACGGACGAGAAGTTGAACGTTTGCAAAAACAGCATAGATGGATCCAGTCCTGCCTGAAAGGAAAGATTGTCTTCGCGCCTGTTGACCTTGACAAGTCCGGCCTCAGAGTTCTGGACGTGGGGTGTGCTGATGGTAGGCTATTCCCCCTTCGCTCCCTAGCGATCCCCCTCTCGCGGAACTGAAAACAATCTTGCCTTTCCAAAACTTTCTAAGCCCTTATCTTTTCCAGGAACCCTGCTCCGTGACCTTCAGAAACAGGTCTCGCCCTCTGCACAGCTGGTAGGATCCGACGTCATGGGCCCATTTCTACCTCCATCGCCGCAAGGCAACATTCGCTATATTCAGGCCGACATTTGCGAGCCTCCTACGGGTGATTTAGCTGGGTCATTTGATCTCACACATGTCCGATATGTTTTGGCTGGGTGTGCTCGCGTTGGCCTGGACACTGCAGTGGCAAATCTCGCAGGCGAGGGCGCTCCGCTTCGAGGGCAAACAAGACCGCACCTCTCAAGTTTCCATTCTAACATATTTCTCATCGTAGCAACACTGGCACCGGGTGGATGGCTCCAAATTCAAGAAATGAACGTGGACCCAAACCGGCCTGATGCAGGTCCAGCGTGGCAGGATGTCAATAGCATCTTATCTGGAATGTTCGCCAAGATCGGCATGGGAAATCAATTCACTTTACTGATTGCCGACTCGATGAAGAAAGCCGGCTTGGCGAACGTATCAGTCGAGACTATTGATCTGCCCATGGGAAAATCGATTGAGGGCGAACAGCAACAGAAAGACTCGATTGAGCCTTTCAAGATTACTATCCCGGTCATTTCACAAGCTGCAAAGGGTGAGGAAGCCTTTCCCTCATGATACTATTTGCTGTGCATAATCTAACTGCGTGGCAACAGGACTCGGTGTTGACATTCCCGAATCAACTTATGATCGTTTGCCGGAAAGATTTGAGGACGAAGCCATGAAGCAAGGGGTTGTGTTTCGATGCTTGGTCATTGTTGGACAGAAGCCAGTGTAATGATAATTCATATTTTCTCAGTTACAGGACACAATAAATATTGGCCAAAGGCCACTGTCACGTTTATAGTGCATAACGAACTCAATCACAATCAACAAATATCAATAAATCAATCTAGATTCAATCTACGCAGGGTAGCATACAAAAAAACCATACTTAGATCAAGATTGAGACCGCGGTATTGTCTGGATCCAAGACCATGTATGGCACAGACCCTTTGTCCATGTTGTTGCTCGTCTCCGCAAACTCGACATCGAGCCTCTGAAGATCTTCATAGAACTCTTTGCTAATTTGAGCAATGGTCTGGTCTAGATTGGTCGGATTCTTGAAGTGGATCCGCCACTGAGACAATGCAAAGGACTTGAGGCTTCTCTCACTCGCTACCTTGGAGCTAAGCAGCCAAGGAATCTGCACGCAGAGCAGCCATTCCCTCTGTCGCCCGCAGGGCAAGGCCTGCATCAGATCCTTCTCCTCATATTTCTGCAGCTCAGCGAGGTTCTTGGGCAAAGCATGACAAAGAGCGGAGGGTTTTGCAAGAACGAAAGACTGATAGAAGCTCTGCAGGTAGTTGACCGCTGTATGGAATGGGGCAGCGATGTGGATGCACATGGTCACGGCATCGCAGAGCTGGTCGAATGTCTGAATGTTCGGGAATGACTTGATCCATCCCTTGTTTTGCACCTCGTAGCACCACTCCTGGATGTAATTATCGCCCGACACCATCTCGTCAAGGGTCTTACCCATAAACCTTGGGACCGACTCATTGTACTCTGTCTTGAGCATTTTCTCAACATACCCTCGAATGCTCGACCACATAGAAACCATGTTCTTCGCATAAGCGTAGTTCTTATACTTCTCATCGCTGAGACCTTCGCTGCTGTCCGGGAACCCGCGGCGCTTCAGGTCTTCAGGAACATAGTTCTCAACAAAGTTGAAATGTTCGAATTCGTAACAGACATATCGGGAGGTCTGGTCCGGGCTGAACCCAACCAGATCTTTGATAAGTTGAGGGACGAGAGTTTCTCGCGCAGCGGCATTCAGGGAGAGTGTCTTGTACCAGTGAGGCTGCAGAATCTTGAAGACGATGTGTTCCTCAGGGATCTGACGATTGGTAGCCACAATCAAGGCTTCCTCAATCATATGAGCACGAGTCAAATGGACGCCAACCTCATGTCGGAACCAATCTGAGACCAGAGCGCAGGTCTTGGCATACCGCCACGGCCAATCTGTCTCCTGGTTGATAGAGGTGTCCTCAGGGTTCTTGCGTTTGTTGAAGATTGTTACGGAGTTGGCCATGCTTGTCTTGTAGTCACAAACGATCGCAATTGGGTGGAGCTTTCCGTCCTTGTGAAGCTCATACAGGGAAACAGCTGCACATGCCCAATTCTTGTCGGACGAGGGTTCCTTGTGCAGGAGTTCGTCGTTGGGTTTGACACCCGCTGCCTCCCGGAAGTAACGAGTATCCTGAACGAAGAGCGAATTGGGATCTGCGGCAGCGAGGTACTCGGCCCAGTACTCATACTGTCCGGACTTGGCCGCAGCAATGAACTCATCGAGAAGTCCCTTGGAAACTTTCTCAATCGATGTTGGGTCGGTGCCAGTAAATGACTGCTCGGCAAATCGACGGTCACTGTACCAGTCAGGAAGCTCTCCAATGTTGTGACCTGATTCGATATCGATGCCGGATTTTCGGTTGGTCAAGTTGTATTCCTCGTAGGCTTTGAGTGTCAGCCCCTGGTTCCAAGCGTCGTAATTATCTCCATCCTCCTCCCTGAAAAAGGCTTCCACCTTTTCGGTGATTCCAAGTGCATCAAGGGCTTTTTTGGCTACCTTTCCAAAGAAAGTGTCTGGAACAAGTAGCTTGAGGAGATAAATGGTCTCGGCGAGCCCAATGGCATCAAAGATTTCGTAGTTCTTGTGCTGCTCGTCTTTTGGGATTGTCTCCAAATGAGGAGGGTAAAATGCGCGATCTCCATTCTTCTCCTTCGGATACTCTGACCACTCGAAGGCCGTCTGCTTAGCACTCAAGCTAGTGGGACGTGGGAGTGCACGCTCAATTTGTAGGACATTGTAGTAAGACCCAAAACTTTCCTCGATCAGGCTATAACCATGCGCTAGGGCTGCCTGGGTGCCCGCATAAGTACCCTTGGTGATACCGCGCTCATTGGCGGGGGCTCTGGACAGAAAACGACTGGTATCTCGCTTCATGTACAGACCTTGCTTGATCAATGAAACGTGGAAAGCACCGGGGTCGAAGCTGGTGAATGGCACATGCTCGATAGGGACTTTGCTCTGTTCAATCCGCTCCTCAACTGATGGCTGCTGAAGTATAGCGTCAGCTTCTGTTGAGGGAGCGTCCGAGGAGGCCATGTTGTTGATTCTGGTGAGAGAAATGTTATTGAATGACTTGAGAGTAGAATAGTTGATGGCGAAGGTGAGCCTTTGAGTAGTGATGTGATGTGCAATCAAAGAGCGAACCTCATTATTTATATTTGTATAAGTGCCCATTCACTCCCGGCCTGGAGTCTGCTTTTTCTCATGAACACATAGTCTCAAAGATGGCCTTGACATCTGAGGCAACGATCGGAGCGCCCATCGTGCTGACATTCTAGACCCTGAAGTGCCAAGCTCCAACCGTTTGCAACGGCTGGGGCCTCGACTGGGGATGCTGCGGCCGCATGCACGCTCAGGCTTCAGCTGAAATCTACATTAGGAAACAATGGAACCCGATCGCGGGTAGTCAATCAATAACTGTCAGCACTGGATCTGCTATTCCTAATATCGTTGCTACTATTGGCTACTCCACGCAGTTCAATTCAGCTATTGATAGTCCCGTGCATGAGTCTGGGCTCGCACCCTGAGACATGCGTACAATCAGCCAGCCATGGGAGCGGCCGGTGAGCCAATAGAGGCTAATGGTGTCAGTTCAGCTACCTCGTAAGGTGCAGCCTAGCCACAGGATCCGTTCCCATTACCATGAGACTCTTGATCCCCAGCTAGTTGATGGAGTCTACTCCCTGTTCTCAGCCGGGTAGATGCATCTTGGACTGCGGGCCGGCCCTCAGCCAGCTTACTTCCGTTTGTTACCTAAACCTAAATAGGTGGATATTGGGCGATAGCGGTGACTGATATGTCCACCAACGTGTCTGGGCAGACATGTCGATCTCACCAAGGCCGCCTAATATCTATCCGATCGTATTAGCTCAAGAGTTCTAGAGCGGTGCCAAGAGGACAGTGATACAACTCCTCATCATTCACGGCATACTTCTTAGCTTGATTGGTGGAGGTCTACTGCCGAGCCTGCACATAGGCATGTAGCGTGAAAGCAATGAACAAGGAAAGTTACCAGAACGAAGATGTCGTCGCGAGCCCAAGATTACCTACGTAGTGAGCGGTGATGAAATGACCTCAGGCTAGTGTGCCACGAAAATGCAGCCCAAAAGCTTCAACGTTTCCGTCGGGGACAATAGTCTAGCGAGACTTCCTGCGCATCCTCGTTTTGACTTCTTCATGCTGTGGCTAGGTGTTTTCGCCCTACAACAGTTTTTAAGGGCATGGATAGGTTACGCCACTAGTACAGCCAGGTATCCAAGCTCAAAGAGCACTGCCAATTATTATTCAACATATATTGGCAGAGCTCGGCCAATGGTGGCTATTAGGGCAAATATCTAAGCAGGCGACAACTATAAAAACAGAACGTTGAAACTCGATCTGACAACTTGTATCCTACAGTATTTGATATTAATCGCAGCAATGTAGCTCAGAGCTATTGTATTGAAGTAGGGATTAAAGGTCCGGGTTTCGCAAGTCATGCCGCTCAGCAGCCTAGTTAAGAGGAGCTGTTTTCGCAGCCTAGGGAGAGATACATGCCTTGTCCTTCATTTAGTTGAGACCCTAACTTGTGACTGCTTCGTGAATTGACTGTCCAATTGCGAAGACTCGAGAAGCCTCTGTTTAATTGAAGCTGGATGTAGCCTTAAGAGGCACTGCAACGAGCGTTTCAAATGCTTCCTTCGTGAGAGATCCCCTCTTTTCAATTTGTTCAATGGCTCGAGATAAGAAAGGTCTTGGTACGATAAATCACAATACGGGCAATGAAGCTATTGACTAATGTGGTAACCGCTGTATGCCATGTGCCCTTATATTGTGTGGTTGTGGGTGTTGTGTGTGTGTGTGTGTGTGTACAGCTTCCTTTCATGGCTTCAAAGTATATCAATATGGCGTACCGTAATTGAAAGCACACTTTAGCTAGCTGGCAACATTAAGGTGTTATCAAGTGTAATTAAATAACTTGAAATTCTACTATCGACCCATTGCCCTTTCGCTAATCAGCTGGTTATATATATAAAGAGAGCTACTTTTAGGAGAGTTATAACCTTATTTATATCCTTAATGTATAAGGCGTATCTATGGATTTGACCTGCAAATTGCAGAGCCCACGTTCTAACACATCTAACCTCGTATTGAAGCATTCAAGAAAGAGCAATGACTACTAGCTACAATAGTTCTTGGCTGTAACAGCATGTCGCCATCTATGGAGACCGTGACAGACTGGTCGATCATGGGCGGTTTCCAGAAGGTCTCGATCAGGCGACGGTACCACTCTCCTCTTGGAGCTTAATGTTCCAGCCGTTCCACTGCTGTATCAGGAATCCCTTGCCGCTGTTATGCTTGTGTTGGATAAGCTTGTGCTGCACTTCACTACCGCGTTAGGCAGCCGGAGGGAGTGGGAGCTTGACCAGATGAGGCAGCTGGTCTAGGAATTGACACACGGGGGCACCAGGAGGCCTGTCACCTACGCCGATGACTGCCCTGAATGGCTCTGCTAGGGGCCTGAGACGAGATCAAAGCTTGCGCCTAGCAACAAAAGTGCGACTAGAAGAAGAGGTTTTATGCATCGACTCTGAAACAGGCAGCTACCGTATGTAATGAGACATGACATTCCAAACCCTCCCTCTAGCTGGTAGGCCCACCCGAAGAAACAATGACAACAAAGAGAACATGATGCAATCCCTGTTGTTTATATATAAAAGACCCGTTCCTGATCGCCGCCCCGAAAATGCATGTTTCACGCCCCGTCCAATTCCCTTCAACTCACTGCCACCATGCATTTTAGCACAGCCGTTGTTGCCCTTGTGGCATCTCTTCAGATCACCTATGCGGCTCCTAGTGAGAAGATCGTTAGGGAGTCGTCTCTTCGTTTGATTAAGACGTCGGAGGATGACCCTGGACAGTGGGTGACGGAGGAGGAAAAGTATGAGAACTTCACTGCAAAGAAGATTGGATTCATCGACATTACGGAAATTAGGGTAAATGTCCCGAGCTTGAATTCTCATTCACTAGACAATCACGATTAACCGAGTACCATTTTAGGACGTGGAAGTTCTCTCGAGGCTCTCAAAGACCGATGCTGAGAACGCTGCTTCCATCCAGGCTGTTGTATACCCCTCCAAGGTCGAGCATGTTGATGAGGCCAATGGCCTAATCGGCAAGGCCAGCAACACCAGCCCTCAGAGCTGGCTCCGAACCCTCACCAAGTAAGCACAGAGTCCATTTGGATACTCCATCTCTTTCTTACATGACGCTGCAGTTACAACACTCGCCACTACCAGTCTTCCACTGGCACTCAGGCCGCTACATGGCTGTTCAACACAGTGAAGAGTGTGGCTTCTGCTAACTCTGCCATCACTGTCCGCCAAGTGACGCACTCCTTCAACCAGCCATCAATCATTGCGACAATTCCCGGCACCACTGACGATCTCGGTAAGTTCGGCGATTACATATAGAACTATACCTTGGTCCGCTCCTCTTCAATACTAACGTCGATTTTGTCTCCTAGTTATTGTCGGGGCTCACTTGGACTCCACTACCGGTTCATCAAGCTCCCGCAGCCCCGGAGCTGATGACAACGGCTCAGGAACAGTTACCATCCTCGAGGCTCTCCGAGTCCTTGCTGAGCAAGGATACAAGCCCAAGAACACCCTTGAGTTCCACTGGTACGGTGGTGAGGAAGGTGGTCTTCTCGGATCCAAGGACGTCTATTCCCAGTACAAGACGCAGAACAAGAATGTCCTTGCCTTTGTCAACCAGGACATGACTGGCTACTCCCCCAGCGGCAAGGTCGCAGTCTACACAGACTACGTCGACTCTGCACTTACCTCATACGTCCGTGTCGTCGCCACCCAGTACACCGGGTCGGCCCCCTCATCGTCCAGGTGTGGTTATGGTTGCTCTGACCATGCCAGTGCAAACTCGAATGGTTTCCGTAAGTCACTGGAGAGAATTTATGGGTAGATGGAGTAAGCTAATCTCTCGCACAGCCGCCGCCTTCGTGAATGAGGAGGTCTTTGAGAATAGCAACCCAAACATCCACACCTCGCGTGACGTAAGTTTCTAGCCTATGCAGTTCACAAGCTTGGGAGTAGTTCTAACCAATACTGCAGACCTATGAATCCATTCAATGGGATGCTGTTCTTCGTCACATTAAGTTCACTCTCGGCTTCTTGGTTGAGGCTTCCTACATCTAAGAGCTGGGATAAAGTATGCTCAGTTATTTGCCATTCAGTGGTGCTGGCTGCCGTTTTGGTGAATTGAGATATATATCAGCAGAAATTGAACAGAATACATATCTTTTTTTACTTTCAATTGTGTGATACTATCTTGTGTATATTTGTTCTAAAATAACCTAGAAATCAAGTAGTCCAATATGAGGGTTTGAACATTGAAAATATTCATCAAGTTATCGTTGAATTTCAGCCTATCTTGAGCTGGTAGTCTCTGATCTCCGGAGAATTAACCCATGAGGCATTGGGAAGTGCTCCAGAGGTACTGTAGACATGTGTTGGCCACTATCGTTGAGCAACGGAGCCTTCTAGCTCCACCGGATAGCCTTTAAATTTTCTTGCAGGAATGTTCCAATCAAACAGCAAGTCAAGTTCCTCATATGTGCGGCCCCTGGTCTCTGGCACTCGGAAGAAGGCCCATATCAGGCACAAACCAGCCAATCCACCAAAGAAGAAGCCCAACTTGCCTTGCATATTCGCCTCGGCAGGGTTGATCATGTAGGGAATGGCGACAGTCATGATGATTCCAAGAATGCCTTGTGCTGCTGTAGCTGTTGCGATGGTTTTTGAACGAACACGGGTGGCCGAACATTCGGAAAGCAGCACGAAGCAGATAGGCCCCACAGAGATGTCGTAGAAGAAATTCCATACAAGCATGAGGGAAGACTCGGCCCAAATCACTGAAGATGGACGACCTGGGACGCAGTCAAGTATTCCAATGAGGAGTTGCAGAACAGTCAGAGCTGTGAGACCCCAATTGAAGAGGAATCGTCGACCAAATCGGAGCATCAGTACCCATGATACAAG